TTTGTTCGTTTTTTAATTTATTTATTTTTTTTTTTTTAATATATATACACATATATAATACTCTGTCTGGTAGGTTGTTAACCGCTTTTGACCTAACGTTTTTTGCTAACACCGATATCAGTTCTCTGGAATTTGATGTTTAATCTATTTTTTTTGCTGCATTTGTCTATATTCATATATTCTCTCGGGCATATAACTATATATATATATATACATACATCAGATAATCTTTCCCTAGATTCGAGTGTACGTGTGTGTTTCTGTGTGTGTGTACATATAATATGCATACAACTTTCGCTCGGGGTTAAACAAAGGAACGGACAGTAGTAGTATAGCTTGTCGGATATTTTTTGCTTCATTTGAGGCTTTTTTTTTTTATTATTATTATTATTCTTTTCATCATTAGAATATTCCTTTTTTTTTTTTCCTTCAGTTTTTTAGTTTCGACAATCTGGAACTGGCATTTTCTTGCGTCTTTTTTTATTTTTATTTTTTTATTTTTTTTTATTTTTTATTTTTTTTTTTTTTTTACCTTAATGCTAGAGATAACTCTTCCAAGTTTGACTTCTTTTTTTATTTTGCTTGTAGAATGGAAAAAAAAAAAAAAAAAAAAAGAGAAATATAATAGACAAAAATTCGAATTGACAAAAATATATAACAGGAATCATAGTGAATTGATATTCGAATTGATGTTCTTCGATCGTGCTCGTATTATTATATATACATACACAACAGTATTTTTACGTATTACAATTGTTGTTTTTTTTTTTTTTTTCATTCTTGCTGCAACCAGGTTTTTTACGTTTTTATGTCACTGTTCAGCATACTCGTTCCCCGGTCGAGAAAATGAGAAAGACAACAAGGACGGGGTCAGTTTAGACGAGCTTACGATCGTTGCTTCCCTGTATATTCCACACACACAGATTTTGTTAACATTAATATCTTCAGTCTAGTCGTTGTACTGAATGGCCCGCTGAGAAGAGGGCTTCCAACATTTGATTCGCAAATTGATTGATTTATCTGTTATCGTGTACAGAATAATTGGCGTCAATATATGTTAACCCAAATTTATTCCAATGGAAAATATCATTTTTCCGTTTGATTAATCTCGCTTCAATTTTCTCTTTGTTGCGTTTCTTTAATTAAAAAGAATTTGCGAATCAAACGATCCTCGTTTATAGGCACGCTCCTTGCACACAAAGTGTTGGGAATGCTAAAAAAAAAAAAAAAAAAAAAAAAAAAAAGAAGTAAAGCGAAAAGAGAAAAGATGGCAAAAAGCAGAAAAAAAAGATTACCAAAATTACAGACCCAAACCGTTCACGTAAAAAAAAAAAAAAAAAACGAGTCCTTTGTTCTCGCCCATTCGAATCTCACCAATTTTTGAAACTTGTATCGTGTATTCGTGTCGTATCGTGAAAACGATCACGATCAGAAGCAAGCTGATTTATCGACTTGCCCGATGATCTAGTGAAAAAAAAAAAAAAAAAAAAAAAAGAAAAAAAGAAAAGAAAGAAATTAAAGAGCAATAAATTTCTAGAGTACAATGTCACGATAAATAGAAATAGGGAATGATCATTTTTTGAATACAGAAAAGTTCTACTGCAAATTTCCCTTTTAATTCGACCTGCGCGAGCAATCGACCTTCTTAAATCCATTATTCTTCGGAAATAATAACGAGAAAAGAAAAATAAGAAAAAAAAAGAAAAAAATTCGTAAAAGAAAAAAAAAATCATTCAATAACAATATATCTGTTTCTATGTGTCGATTATTCGCGCACCAGTAGCAATTAATTAATATACGTATACGATCCGATTTTTTAGAGCATGTAATGTACCGTGAATATGCTCTAACACTGAAATGAGTTTGAATGTGCGTGTCCAATGAATTTTTCAAAAAGAACATGTGCGTGTGATTGTGGGGAGAAAGACAGGACACTTGTCTTCTGCCCTTGTTGCGTGAAACGCGTGAATGGCGCGTGACTGTGGACGAGTGATTCTGATGTAAGACACTGTGAGAGTTGTTTTTTTTTTTTCTCCCCCTCCTCCTTTTCCTTTGTAACTATCGTTCGCGATCGATTTCGCGAAGTGTCCGTAATAAAAGTATCTGGCACATTTTCTTTCAGTTACTGGACACCCTCCCGGTGTGCCAAGATTTTAATCGACAAGTGTGCAACCGTCCCGCCTGCAAGTTTATCCATCTCAGTGACGGTGAGTTTTCATGATCTACCGCTACGCGGCGCGGTGTGTTAATTCCCTTCCCTTAAGTAATGGAAGGTGAAGCTTGTTTTTTATATATATATATATATATATTCTTTTCTTTTTCTTATTCTTTTTAGTTTTTATTAAATATTTTTTTTTTACATTTTTCATTTCGTATTTCGTGAGTTTTGTTTTATTTTATTTTTATTTATATGTCGTTGACGATTTTCTAGCTACGAAACGTTGATGCAGTACGTTAATGCAAGCTGTTATTTACGTATCATTAAATGCATTGGATGAAACATCTGTCACGTGTACAGTGTTTGTGCGTATTTTTTAAACTCGAGTAATAAAAGTTGCGAGATAATATTATACCAATTGTTAATAGTTTATATTTGATTTCGATGAACGTATATACGTTCCTTACGTGTCGAATCGATTTTCTGGTCAGATGGTATTTGTATTTTGCGGCCATTTTGCCGTTGACGACCGCGCATCCACCGCAAAACGATCGTGTTCGCAATATACGATCACGATGACAAATCTATTGGTCACCGCTGTTTCGAACGCGGACGCAACTTTATCAAAGTTACAAATTACTCGATTTACTCGAATTACCGTTAAAAATTTTACAATTCGGTTCTGAATCGTCTATAACCGCGAATCGTTAACAAAATTAATCATGCGTGCGAATATTTTTAAGCGAATTACGAACGAAAAGCTGCAAAAAAAAAAAAGAAGAATATGTATCGATAAAACATAATATAATCATAAATAATTTTTATTCACGAGGATCGTCGTGAAGCTAAGAAAAATTCTCGAAAAAAATTGTATTTTTTTTTTTTTTTTCTTTTATCCAATCTCTAACTCTTAACTTTTCTCTCTTTTATCCAATCTCTAACTGTTAATCCAATTCCAACATTTTCCAGGAAACGTGGAGGTGATCGAGAATCGCGTGACCGTGTGCAGGGACGCAGTGAAGGGCGCGTGCATGCGACCCCAGTGTAAATATTATCACATACCGGTCGCGTTGCCGCCAGCGCCCTTGATGGCGATCACATCGCCTGCGACGCCCTAGTTACTCCTTCTCGTTTAGCGGATGTGTGTATCACGACGAGGCGAGGAGCTAGAACAACCGGCAGACAGATGCAGATGATGGTGCGGACGAGGGAGAGAAAAAAGTCTTGAGAGAAGATTTGAAGATACTCGACGAGGGATCGATAGAGAAGAAGAAATGGAAAACGACCGACGAAACGAGGAAAAAAAAAAAAAATAAATAGATGAATAAAAGAAAATGGAAAAATGGAAGAGAGGTAACAAGAGATAGATAGATAGATAGATAGAGAGAGAGAGACATAGAGAAAGAGAGTAAAAGGACAGGAAAAAGAGGAAGGAAGAAGAGAGCTTCTCGCGTAAAACGGCCTTGATGATCACATTGAGCAAGATCGATAAGGAGAAACAAGAGAGATGCATATGTGTTTCAATGTGTCTTCGTCGTTCTCTTCGTCGTCGTCGTCGTCGTCGTCGTCGTCGGTGACACAGGAAGGATCGACTCGATTCTATTTCATCCTCCTCTGCGAATCTCCTCCGATACGTAGGTTTTCGTCGAGCTAGATAGAGATCGGGAGAAAAGGCGAGCGTGATCGAACGCGGATCAAAGAGGGAGGGGCGGGTCGAAGAAACGAAATTCGTATTGGTTCCCAGCCATGGTTGATGGAAAGAATGGGTACGAATTTCGTCCCCTTCTTCTCGCCTCCTCCCTCCTCGTGCTATCCCTTGAAGATGAAAAACGCGCATTCGAAAAAAAAAAAAGTAATAAATGAATAAATAAATAAAATAAAAACGAATGACGAAATGAAAAAAAGCTAGAACTTCGTTCGTCGTGGATGATGTTTCTCTCTGGCTCCGCTAATTTATTTTCTCCTCCTCGCGCGCATAATGTGTTCGTCCTTCACTTTCGTTAAATATCACTTTCGATGATCAGATGATCGTGCTCGTTTCGGGAACGTGTTTCTCGATAATGGTTATCTGGTTTAATTAAGATTATTTCGTTCGTTGAATGTGTCGCGAACAAAATTGAGTGCAATATTCGTGATTATAGGATGGAGTGGTCGTCGAATTGTCGAAGATCAGCGAGAGAAACGTACACTCGAGGTCGGCGGTCACGAGGTCTTCCTTGATCCTGCCTCTTCTTTTTTTTTTTTCTTGCCTAATTCCCTTAACACTTCCATGAAAAAAGAGCCAAAACAAGATACGAGTATATCGAATAACTAATTCTAGAAAAAAAATTTTTTTTTCAAAAAATCCATCAAACTTCAAAGTATACCTTCGTTTAATTGTCTGCATAGACAATTTCTTTTTCAAAGCTTTTTCATCGAGCTCGATCTCGCTCGATTCTTTCTTTGTTATTAATCACCACCATTTCTTTTGTTTCGATATCTCTTTCTTCTTTTTTTTTTTTCCATCCCTTCAATTATATCCACTTCACCTTCCAATTTCCGGAAACACCCATTTCCGTGGAAAACTTCCATTAACCTCGAGTGTCTTATTCGATTCGTGATTTCTGTGTTCTTCCACGCGATCGCTGATCGAGAATAAATTGAGAAGAATTTACCAGTTCATCGCGAGACACGTTCTCGAGAGAGAGAGAGAGAGAGAGAAAGAGAGATATATATATAGAGAGAGAGAAACAGGGAATCGCGGTTTATGTTCCGTAAGATCTTGGTACCATTATGTGTACATATATTATATACACGTACTATGCATACAGAGGGAAACGTGGTTAGAAGTTATACGATCCCCTGGGAAACCGAGTATATCCCGAGTTGCGGGATCGTAAAATTTCTTCGCGTTCGTGCCAATCGAACGAATTCATATCGTACGAGTAGTAGGCTTGCTCGGTTCAGTGGATATGATATCATCAGATATGGAATAATTTAACTCTTTTGATGTTGGTACCGTTCATTTTATTATCTCTTGCCGGATCGATACCATTATCGTATCGTATCGAGGAATTCTTATTGAATTCCCATTTCAAAGCCATTTTCCGACTGTTGAAGTCATTCTGTTGGGGGAAATAATGATTATTGGTTCCTACGAAAGAGAAAAATATTTATATTATTGTGTATAGTTTTTAGATAAGTAGTAAGATGTTAAAAAAAAAAAGAGGGAGAGAGAGAGAGAGAGGGAGGGAGAGAGAGGGAGGG